ATTCGAACATAATAGCAATCTTATTTTTTTTTCACATGTAGTATAGAAATTTGTAATAAGATACGTAATGCGGTTATAATAAAATATTATTATAATAAATTTTCGTATAATTAAAATTAATATGTATTTATTTTTTAGAAAATATAAGGGAAGCGGCGCATCCACTGCTTCCAATGACGGCACGCCACTGTACAATACATCCATGTAAAGGGATCACTGGAAAGCTCATTAAATTCTGATGTACAGTAAAAAACTAACTTAAAATTCGGTTTTTTTCATGTGTTACTATAGATTATATCTTCCTTACTAACTCCCAAACCCCTTAATCGATCTGGACAAAATTTCGCCTACTTTCACTTCAGTACTCTACAGGAAACATGAACTACCATAAAACTCGGAATCTTTATTCTTTCTCTTTGATTCTATGTCAAACTCCGAAACAGTTTGAGAAATCTTGACGAATTTTGCATTGTCTTACAATACTACAAAAAAATATATACGATATTTTAAAACTTCGACCCCACTCTTCCTGTTGATTTCATTCCCATTATATTGCCAGTCTTTGACTGATTTTCATCAACTTTTAGATTTTTACTGTCAGCCACCATGCAGGAAACTATGCTACTCTATAACGATAACAACTAAATTTCTCCCCTAGTTTCAGGGAATGCTGGACATTCTTTGCTAGTTTATTAATATAATGTAATAAAATGTGAAACATATGGTATTCTATAAAAATATTAAGAAAATCTACAAAGGGATATGCCAATTTTTGACCATTTATTGTACTTTATTTCTCATTANACATATAGAGTGTAATTGCCGCGATGCACCCTCTCGTGAACTTCTCAAAATAGTGTTAACTGAAGAGTTAAATTTATATACAAATTTAAAAGTATACCTGAAAGTGTATCGAACCCATACTACTACAAATAAAGAATTTCTTTAATCCATTGTAATTTACTTGAGGAATAATTGAGATTTTACTACGTAGATCCCGAAGACCAATATTTTTAGTGTCAATTCCGTCCACGATTATCATTCCTGTTGGCTCTGTCATACGGAATAAACTAGCAATTATAGAACTCTTTCCGGCTCCCGTTCGTCCAACAATTCCTATCTACAATCGAACATAAAAATAAAACATTGCTCAAAAGAATTATGAGGAATAAATGTTTTAATTAACTAACTTTTTCTCCTGGCTTAATAAGAAAAGATAAATTATTTAAAACAATACTTCTGTCATTCGAATATTTTAACGAAACATTTTTAAATTCAATTTCTCCTTTTTGAGGCCAATCAGCAGGAGGTTGTTTGTCAGGAGAAGATTCGTAAGCTGCTTCAGATTTCAATTTGCTATAATTCAGTATACGTGCAACGGAATTCATCTGAAAAATAGTGAGATCTTAATTAACAATTATTAGAAATTCGCTATGAGATTTTTATTTATTTTAAACTTTAAGACAAAAATTGTGAAGTTAAATTTAAACACCATCATTTGGTATGTCAGAATTGTCATTATTTCCAACTACTCATTGTTTTCAGTTATTTCAAGTTCAGTTTCCCATTTTCTTTCATTTTTGTAAACTTTCCTTCTAACAAAAATATTTTATCTTTCTTCTCAATTTTAATTTATTGTAATTTAATTTTTGTTTATGTATAATAAGTATTATGTGTCAAACTTATTCGTATGGCATAATTGTACACGAACAATGTTAGCAAATTCAAATCTATCTGTCAGTATACAAAGCTATCACTTTGTTAGAGTCACGTAAATTGTATTCTTATATAGATTATTATTNAAATACTATTTGCTGTGTATTGATCTGTTAACATTACTTTTTAACATGAAGATTTGTATATATCTATACTTGATTTTTTAATCATATTAATTCTATTTATTTGAACAATTTTCAGTAAAGAATAGATTCACTTTCTCATGTTGAAATACTGTTTGCTGTTTGTGTATTGATATTTTAAGTTTAGTTTCTAAGATGAAGAATTGTATACATTTATATATATTAACTGCGTCAAACTTTTAAACATTAAGCGCATACAACTTTCATATATTAAATGCATTAAACATGCCTCAGGAATTTGTAATGCTGCTGAAACGCCCACTAGGGGGCGTCCCGGGCTACTAGTTCAATATAAATGGAAGCAAAATATTATATGGAATTGAACGAAAATGAAAATTTGCTTGATAATTCAACTACGCTTGTTGGAGAACAATAAAAACACTACACTCAACAAGCCACCAATAAAACTCAACTGCCTAACCTATAACCAAAGTCTTTTTTTAATTTGTTTTTAAAAAAAAGCGCTTGACAAACTTGCCTTGCATGCCGAAGTTGCCCCGGTCTCCCCTAAATACTTACTTGATAATCTGTTTCAGATAAATGATGAGTACCCCAATGAAAATACAAAATTAACATTAATTCATAATTTATTATAAGCCCAATCTTGCTTCCCGCATCAACTAAACATAAGAGAAAGTTAAAATTCACATATATTACACGATATAGAAATTTCGATACTTTCACTTACTTGAAGGCATTGTAATACATAAAACTACAATAGTGGCAATAATATTTAGAAAACATATAGTTTGACCATAGGCGCAATTCCATCGATTTAATGCCACGTAAATGAACCATGTTGCAGTGTGCTTATCCTGGTATTTGTTAAAAGTTGATTTAAATTTATTTTTAACATTAAATGCTCTGATTGTTGTAAGTCCGTAAAGGGATGCACTCAGATGTGACAATACTGGGCTTCTCGCTGTTAAAACAAAGTAATTATACAGTATATCTGAAATCATTTTCTGCAGGAATATATTTAATACTCTAATACAACATAGAAAGTTTTCCTATTCAGAGCATTTTATTCAAGTTGTTGCAGAGCCAGGATGTTATATTTTTCACTGACTTTGTCATTTTTTTAATAAGAGATTAAAATGTCGTTTGAATAATGTTCTTCGTTATTTATTTTTTTTTTTTTGTTTCATGCATCTTCTGTGAATTGCCATATAAAAAAAGATTTCGAACTAATTTTTTTGCAAAATCTTTTTTCAACAACATTTGCATATTCTGATGCGTTTTTCTGTCAATTACATTTATTATTTAAAGTAACAAAGTTCTCTGAATTGAAAAACTGTAATAATAGCCAAACTGTATTTAATATACTTACATTTTCCTTCCAGATATTTTATGCTTTTCAAAACACGGGAATGGATCGTCCATAGAAGATAAAATGACATTAAATGTATGAACTTTACTATGAGTAGATAAGGGCAAATAATTCCTTCGATAACAAATATTCCAATTACTAAACTAAATGACTGGAAAAAATATAATAAATTGGTATATTGGAACTGAATTTTCTATTTAGGCTATACGTTAAATTATCAATTATATTTACAAGTAAATCAAAGTTAATCTAACAAGACAAATTTCTCTGTAATAAATCGACTTTGAATTTGTTTTGTACAAATAAAAAAAAACACTTGCTGATTAATCAGAATAAAGAAAATATTGATTTTCAATAAAGTTATTAAGTTATTGGTTGACAAAAATGTGACTGGAAAATTGCCTAAAAGTGTCGATTTTTATATCAGTTTCACATTTTTTTAACTAAATCTTTACTAACGTATAAAGAGAAAATGTTTCTTGTTTGTTTTCTACAGATAATCTTGCAATCTACTAAACCGGTTAAAAAAATTTTTTTTCGCTATTGGAATGCTTATACCTTGCACAAGAATGCCTATATACTATGTTCATCACAAAAGTATCTACGAAAATGTTTTTACTGCGGCATCTGTTTTCCATTGTGGTTTGTCTGCTACGTTCAAGATTAATTTCCTTTGCCACCTAATAGACTTTTTAAACTTATTAACTTATATTTTCTGTTCAGGTTTTTTATCGTGCAGTTCGGGTACTTGTGTTTGGTTTTTACCGATTTCGTTGTTACTTTCTTATAACAACACACTTATATTCTCAGATACAGCTATGTACAGCCAATTTACTTCCTGTCAATGAGAATGAACTTTTGTATAATAAGAAGCAAAAATTAGTAATATTTGCCATATATAATTAGTCACTTTTATAACCACTTCAAAAAGAGTTTTTGAAAAACAAAACCAAAATGACTTCTGAATCANTTTTCTCCGTTGCGTGTCGCTTCGCGTTGAATTTTCGTCGATGTTAAGCCTAACAAAGACTATTGTATCGTTAAAAATTATTTTTTTATTTTGTACAAACTAAATAAATATATTGAAAAATAAAAAAATAATAAAAAAATTACACTTCAGACGTTAATTTAGTATCAAAAACGTAAAATATTTGAGTAACCCAAGACATAGCCAAAGATTGAAGCGCCACAGCACTGGCGAAAAATTTAAATTTGCCGACTGGAATTCTTTCGGATGATTGACGTTTTGGATGATTGACTTTCGGAAAATCGGCGCTCTACTGTAGTTATGTCTAGTAAAGAAAAGTCATTTTTTATTGTTACATAATTCTTTTTTTCATGTGAATTTTTTTTCGCGATAGTTTTTGGCTAGTTTTGGCAATATCCGCAAAATTCTTTTGTGGATATATCTGTCCTTCATCACTGCCACACGTCTGCCCTTGACAGATATATCTGTCAGTCACTGCTGCGTAGTTAAGTTATCATATGCTGCCAAATGCTCTTTTAATTGAAGCAAGTACAAAGTTTACCTGTCTGGATCAGTTAGATATACCAATCACCTCTTCTGTTCCTAACAAGTGCAAGTGTGAGAATCTTGAGAGATAAGATATTAATTAGCTGTGAAAGTAAAATACACGGTTGTGCAAGAAAAAAATCATACAAATTTTCATTCTCATGTGATAGTGGAAGGGAAATGAAAATAACAATTTTTTTCAGTATATGGACTTTCGAAGGAGAGATCTAATCTCACGCGTTAATAAGACTGCTGCTATGCGACACCGCTTAGGCATACTGTTACATGGGAAAGACTTACCCCCGAATTGGATGGGATTGGAATATACAAAGTGGTAAAATGTAAGTCTCGAGGCATCAAAGAGTGTGGACTGTAGCTCGTCTGTCAACCCTTTTGTCTCACAACTCTCGTCTGTCTCTCTTCTGAAACCCATCTCCATCAAGTATCTCCCAGATACGAGAAGACAACTGTCTACTTGACAAGAGGTATTCCACCCGGATTTATGTAAACTCTCTCTCTCTGTAAATTAGAGTTTAAGCAGCTACAGGTTCCATATAGTCATATTCCTTTGGATGTATTGTTAGATAAGGATGTCGATTTTATCCACATGTAAATACCTATTTAGTTATAATATTATCCTTGTTTTGTTTAAACGGGTTTCGAATTAACTTCTGTCTACAGTCGGTCACCTATGGACTTATCCACAACTCCTCCCACTCGAACGTCAACCCCTCCTTATCGAACAATCTTAAATAGTAAAAATTGATAATCGCGAATTATTAATATCCTAACTGATGTCAGGAGCCTCACATCACAAAGATCTTGCGATTTTGTGACACTTTAGTACTATAATCATCGTATTCATCAACGCAAGTTAAACAGAGAGTTGACAAACTCCAGTTTAGATGTAACTCGAAGTCAGATTACGAGTTATTCTATTTCATATTTAGATAAAAATATAACTCTAGAGTTTAGCTACTCTAGAGTTAATGTGTTAAAACAATCCTGCATTCGAGATTAAACAAGTAATCTTTTGTAAGCAGAGTCTTGATTGGTTGAAAGCAAACATGTGTAGAAATTGCAGAAAGTGAAATGAAAAATAATGCACGCCGAACTGAAATGTTCTTGTGGCATAGAGCCAACATCAGTTGTTCCATCGTATAACGGCGACATCGTATAATTTTTCAATGATGTAGAAACTAAATTGTGACCAATTCGTTCTAGTATGTTTCTTATTCTCTCTTTTGGCAAATGATCTGGACATAGAAAGTCGTAATTGTCCAATTGTTCAAGCTCATTTTTTCTTGGAGAAATAAACCGTAGACTTCTTCGTTCCATACGATCTAGATTTTTCAGATTTTCTAGCATCTCGGCTTTGTCCGCGTTGAATGTCGCCATTTTTCCTTGAAATAGAATGCTTCGCACTGGCGTCAAACCTACAGTTGTTGTCTACTCGCCGATTTTCTAGAGTTAGAGATAGAGTTAGGGTTATTGTGTTTGATTCGAGATTCGAAGTTGGTGAATACCAATTAACCAATAACTCAAGAGATAACCCTAACTCTAACTCTAACTCTAACTCGCATTGGTGAATACAGTGGTAAGAAGCATCCACTGACAAAGTGAGCAGGCCTGACTGCCGGACGCTGCACATTGGTGATAAAAGCCTATTACTGTTGCTTCTCACACAAGGATTGCCTTTTTTTCCGGATTTGTGTTAATTTCTTCTCGATACGACAAAGTCGAATGATCTCTTAGTATTCCACTGCAATCGTTTTACCTATGTTTTCTCTCCCCTTTTTCTTCTGCAGAAGAAAGCTGATTTATTTCTCTTTTTCATCACATCCATTATGTTTTTCCTCTTTCTGTCATTGTTACAACATTTAACATACTAGTTCTAGACTCAAGACATTGATTATTTTTTATTTCTATATGGATGTAATTGCTTTAGTCATATTTGCTTGTTATAAGAAAGCCTTCATCTATTTTTCACTGTGATCAGGCAGAGACCCTGCGCGTTTCTTCCAGGCTATGCCGTAGCATGGCTATTTTTTTAATGGTTGCTTAATTATATGGGATGCCGAAGGTATGACAAGGTCGTACTTCTTTTGCTCGGCAACAGTTTAGTGAAAACTGCCCACTTGTCAGTGGGTGGCTTGTTTATGCTTGCTATCCCAAAGGGTCGGGATTCTTTTTGTCAGCTTGAGTGGAGAAAGTGCGAGGAGTCGTCGGTAAGGCATAAGCAATAAACGAGCAAAGGGCACCATTTAACAAGAAAATCAAAGATTTATTGACTAACAGAAAGGACGTTTACAATTACGACAATCGACATAACTTCGAGCTCTCCTAACTTTCGAGTAAAAGTTTAACGGGCCGAGAGAGCGTTTACATGCTTGATATCATACCTCTTGATTATTCCCACAGAGGTTCATATCAGTCCTTGATGTCATGGTGCACAATTTTATAAAAATCGCGACTCAAATTCTTAGACCACACTTAATAAAGATAGCTCGACAATATCGCACCTCAGTATAGTTCGGCTTGTGAGAGACTCCTCTGAAGGGGAGAAGCGGCTTTTATAGCTTCGTGGTTGGAAAATATGTCATGTGATGACCTGTTGTGGGACGTAAAGATTATTGGAGCCGGTTAAAGATGTTCTCGGGATCAAAATAAAGTGACGAAATCGGACGTTACTTGTAAACTTTAAGTCTTGCAGTATGAGAATGAGTGCCTAGAATGTTTACATTTAAAAAGAAGGGTTATAAAATTTTCCTAGCGATGTTATTTTTTTCTCTTCTCGAATCTTTAGGCAATAGGAAAGGAAATAATTAGGGAAGCATCGATAAAAATTCCGATCTCACAATTATATACCAAACGTAATTCATAAATTTCAAATTTTCAACATTGTGCAAGACATTCTTAGCATTTGAAGCGTAGGCGTATTACAAAATGTTGATTGGCGACGTTGCAAAATGCTTACAGCAGAGCTTCACTCGTCTGAATTGATGCATGTCGAAATGACAGTGCACCAATGTGGTATCTAATTTCAAACTCGATCTAGTCATGCATAATTTACAATAAA